TAATTAGTAAAGACCTATATTTTCAGCTGCGTAGTAAACATCACCTAGAAGTTCTAAGGTTTCCTCAAATTTGGAATACTCAAAATTCAAACTCTTCCATCCCAAACTTGCTTCGCCAGTTATTTTCTATCTCACTGAATGGCGTCACTGACCTAGTGGCCCAAGCCAGAAACCAATGGGCCATCCCTGACTCTTCACTTCCTCAACTTCTCTTTTCCTATGCCCATGTCTTCTACATCCATGGTATGCTGCTAAACTGGAGACAAATCTAAGATGAAGGTTACAAGTATAAAGAAGTTTGGAAATCAACATTACCTGTTCATCAAAAATAAAGTAGAAAATTCCTATCAGCAAACACAATCATCAAAGAACATATTATCTCAGAGAAGACCCACCCAATTTCACCTACCACTGACATAGTTCATATTTTCACCTTACCACTAATGGATTACTGAAACAGCCTCTGGAGTTCCCTGTCTTCCTTTTCAAGTCTGTTTACCAAAATTTCACATGACACTCAAAGCTTCTTTATAAAACACTGCTGTTCTCTCTTTTCCCTTCAGTAGAATGCCTTTCTTCCCAACTCAGCAGTGCCATTATAGATGTGATTTTCTTCTTTGTCTCTTGTTTCTCCAGCTGAAATCCATTCCTTTATACTCCCAGAAGCCTTTATCAATGCCTCTCCATGAAATTTAACTCTTTCTACCTTGATGTTTTTATTTCTACCTAAATATTTTCAGTAAAGTGAAAACATGTCAAAGGCTCTTAGTGCAAAGGCTCTTTGGAACACCCCGCTGGCAGTGGTCTCAATCTTGTGTGCACATTGGAACAACCTGGGCAACTTCAAAAAATACTGATGTCAGGTTCCCAGCCCAGAGGTCTTGGGCACAGCCTGGGCACTGAGATTTTTTAAAAGCTCTTCAGGTGATTCGTATGTGCAGCCAAGTCTTGGAAGTACTGCTCTATGAGGACTAGAAAAGGGAGTTAAAAGATTGAGAATTTTTAAACAGAAGCACAGATCTGGTTGAAACCAGCTAATAACCAAACACTACAACTTGAGTAATAAGTGGCTGCTCTGGAACAGAAGTACCACAAGCAAATAGCAAGGATGTTTCAGAGCAGGCAAATGATACCACAGAAAAACTGCAGGAGGCAAGGAATTCAGTCACCCTTGGGAGAGTAAAGCTAAACCAGCTTACAGTTGATTTCAGACTGAAGCTAGAAAGAAGAGATGAACTGGAAAGAGATGGATGGTTAAAGCAAACTCTGCTTAGAAGTAGAACTGAAAACAAGCCTGAAGAAGTGGTGGAGAAGAGAAATCAAGGGAATTCAGAGAAAGATGCTACAAGTTGGGAAGTTTTCAAAGAGGACTGAACCTGATGTGTGGCAACAAAGGGGCGTTGCTGAATTGGAAATGGTTACAGTGTAGTTTTGAAATCAGGGTTTCCCTGGCCTTCATCAATATTGAAGAATGTTCATGGGAGCAGCTGAAATCATCAAGGGACATACAAAGATGACACCATAACTGTGGACAGAGGCGTGATAAGCTGTAGCGTAGCTATGAAAAGGGAAGGTTTTGGTGGACAGACTGTGATTGAACAACTCTTACATCTGTGAATAATCCTAATATCTGCTCGTCCATTTCTGTAAAGTTAAAGTACATTTTCCTCCTTCCCCCCCAAAAGTTCTTGCCTTTTAGAAAACCAGGTATGTATTTTAAGGTATTTCAGTGCTAGTAAATGTAATAATCTATAATGCTTATTTTTCATCACTAAGAACTAAACATTAAAGGAAGATGCATTAAAAGCAAAACCAAAAAAACAAAGTTATTTTTAAAATACAAAAAACAGGTTCTCATAAAAAATGAAGGAGTGGGAGGATGAAACTGCCATTAAAATGACTCCTCCACACTAGCAACGTGTGAATACTTCCTCTTTTTGATTCAATGCTTCCCCCTAATCTGACCTCTTTCCCTGTTCAATTCCCACATGCTGCTTCAAAAACCAGTGAGTTAGGAGAAGGAAAAAACACATTAGGTGTACATTAACCTCACATCTCATCAGAAAAGCCAGAATCCTGGCTCACTAAATCCTTTGAAGGGTTCACATTGTTGCAAATAATGGCTAACCAACATCACTCTATAGGACAATTGCATTATAATAATTCTATAGCGACAGACAGGAATATTATCAGTGCAATGTGTTTTGTAATAAGAGGTACCATATAAATAACCACCTATGGCATCACCCAAACAGATGTAAAGTACTTCAGAATATTTTTCACTTTAGTGAGATATTAAACCTAATTTATCCCAGTAATAATGAAACAAGCAAGCCTAATTTCTGTAAGGCACAACAATTCCCTACTGAGCAGGGGGTGAGGAATAAAAAATGTTATTACCAAAGAATGAAAAAGCACATAAAACAGGAAAAGTGCAAGGGAAACCCATTATGACACTGCTTTTAGGGGCAAAATAATTCACATTACAGTCCTATGTCATTATGGCAAAATATGTTCGCATCACTAGATACAAGAGAAAATGGTGCAGCCCACAGAATAGGTAAAAATCTACTACAATAGATAATAACTAACATTTGACATAGCAGTGCTATTTCCAGGTCCTAGTTATTAAACCCAGAGTAAAAGTGGTTTATTGATCTGTTTACAACATTCTAAAGACAAGGATTAAAACTGCAGTTTTGTTCTGAGATATAAGCACAGCTTGGAAAGCACTTAGTCCACTGCCTGGCACATGGTAAGCATTCAGCAGTGACAGTTTCCAAGTTTTTTGACTTGACCCTTTGGTTCCCACCTCAAATACAGATTCTAACTACCCTTTAAAGAAAATCCATTGAAAATTCTCAAATCAAAACAAGCTCACTATGTTAAATATTAAGTGTCCATACTAAAAAAATCCATCTTACTATAAAAGTGTGCACATGCTAATTTCTTGGATGTTTGGGTTGGAGGTCAACAATGAGGAACAAAGGAAAAGAAAAGGAGAGAAGAAATGGAAAGAAGTCAGTGAGGATGCAGAGGAAGAATGGAAAGAGAACACAATGGCACTGTTTGTGGGAAGAGCAAACAAATCCCTCCAGTGCCAGATCTATCCTAGAATAAGTACCCACAGGAATTTGCTAACAGTTCTCAGAGCTGTAATAATCCTAGACCTCTGGGTCTGGGGACTGCCAACACTAGGAGATGCAATCATTTCCAGAGCTCCAGTGATTCTCTTGGGCAACTAGTGGAAACCTCTATCCACTGCCACCAGCTGCTAGCCTCTAGTGGCAGAGACATCAACAGTGGCTAGTCTAAGAATGACAGTTTATCCTCAGTTAGGAGCCAATCCTCTCAGGGGTGGCTCTCATAGGGTCCTCAGTGTCCTTTCCCTTCAGTGTGTTCCTCATTTTCTCAAGGATGACTTTACTCTCCCAGGGTAAACTCAAAATGACACTTGAAACAGTGTTCCTGCTAAATCCCCCAGTAGCAGTGCTGCTATGCAGTTCTTTCAAAGAATAGTTATTGTGATTAACATCATCAATCCTCTCCAGTATTGTGTGTAAAAAAGCCTGTGTGTACCAAGCAAAACATCACCTCCACCTGGTCATCTGGCCAGTTTGTGCTCTGTTTTGATTCTCCTCAGCTTTAGTTGCATGCCCCTTCTTCAAATAGTCTTGGGGTCGCAGTTACAGCCAACTACTACTCTCCTGCCTGTCTCTGAATTCCTGTATTGTTAGCACTAAGCAACTCAAAAAGTTCCTCTTCACCAGGTCTCTCACTAGGGGTGCTCAATAATTCAAATCACAGTGTTAGCCTTAGAGTTCAAAGCTCCTCAATAAAATTCTGCATACTAAAATGTCAGTAAATTCTCAGCTAAAATTATAATTTTATATTTTGACAAAGTGATTTAGGATGAAATTTTCAGCATTAATTTTTCATTATTTTGTATGATTGAGATAAACTGCCCAGTTTTTCAGATTAACACATAATAGTTGCATTATAAGAAAAGATATTTATTATTATTCACTCATTCACTTACTCATTCAAAAAACTTGAGTGCCAGACACTGTGCTAGACCCTGGGAATATAGTGAACAAAGCAAACATAATCCCAAAAGTCATAATAATAATTTCTATATTGTGCTACTTACCTCCAAAATAATCTGGCATATTTTAAGTATTTTATTTAATGGCAAAAAATAAATTAGGGAGTGGGATGGAACTCATGGGAAGTAAATACACCATGAATAAATATCATAGGAATTCTTTATCATTTAAATCTTTCTATGTACTGTAAACATGTAACAATTATGATAAGCAATACTGGGCACTGAAAATGTGGTGTTCACTTAAAGAGCACTAGTACCTAATTTTTAAAATTGCTCCCATTATGCAGATGCAGATCACATAAAATGTATTAACTGCTTGAACAGAACTGTTTATCAAGAATAAGAGTAATAAAATTCTGTACAGCAAAATTTTCATGCCAAAGTTTTTAAAAAAAAGCTCAATGACTTCAAAATTGATATATTGTGCAATAAATATATTATCAAAAGATAATTTTTACTCATCTTAGCAAGTAAAAGTTAATTTGTTTGTTCAACTTGTTAATTTGTGTATTGGACTGAACATACAAGTATATTAACAATTTTCTTAACAAAATAGAGCCCAATATATGTTTTAAAAATATTTAGGGAAAAAAGTTTGTCCTTGGTTTTAACATGAATGTATACACAGAAATAAACACATGTACACTCACAGGAGTAACATACATTGACAAAAAGTTACATCTAGCAAAGGTCAGAAATTTTAAAAATCCTGCCAGGCCTTTTTTCTTTTTTCTGTCTTTAAGGCTTGACAATGCAGAAAATTACCAAAGCAACAAAAAAGGACACAAAAACCACACTTCGAACAAACTTCTTATCAGTACTAGGACCTAACTGGTTTAATCCATTTCCTCAAAGGTCATGCTAAAGGTGAAGGATGGATATTGTCCCTTACTGAATTAGGTTGGTTGTCATTCTGTGAAGTAGGGTTCTCCTCCACATGGGTCACTTTATCTAACATTCTTGCTGAAGGAGGCTCAATATTTGTCTCCTCTTCATTAGGTGATAGGGTTTCAGGTAACGCACTGGACATTAGAACTCGCAAAGATTCTGTTCCATCTTCAACATCTATTTGAATCCCCAAAGCTTTAAGAATGTCACATTTACACATGGGACATGTCCCATGGGCTAGAATCCAGGGATCAATGCAATTCTTGTGGAAAAAGTGTTTGCAAGTCAGAATACAAACTGTATCATTAGGCTTATAAAGTTCAAAGCAAACTATGCAGCTATCTCCATTTGGATTTACTTCCTCATCCCCCTCTTTTAATACCCGAACTTGGAGCTGGCCAAATGCTTTCTTGAGATCTGTTGTTAATCGCCGCCACCTCCTGGTCTGAATCCTTGCTACCCAAAGTCTTCGAATATGATAAGAGATGAAATATATTAACATAGTGCTTGTGATGAACATGAAAGAAACAAAGTAGTGATTCATCCATAGGATGCGTTTTCTCCCTACTTCAACCGTGACTGTGACGTAAACGCCCTTCTGAATTAAATGCAAAATTTCCATGCCTTTTAAGTTACCAATCATCACCACAACGATATCTTCAAATGCTTGATGAGACATGGGGAAAACCTGATTGCCAGTTCCTGGAAAGTTATAGATGATCACTCCACTGGCTCCCTTCTCGGTTGCCACCTTAATTTTCTGTGTGAAGGTACAACCTCCTCGTTCAATAAGTGCGAGCCACTTCTCTGAGTTCTTTGATCGGCTGAAACTGGTTTTGGGATTACATGCATTTTGGGGTTTTCCCTCTGGTGGCACTATAACTCCCATCATTCTCTTCAAAGCAGAGCTTGTTCCAAATACTCCAGTCTCCCCCAACTCTGACACCATGCGATTCCCAATGTGGAACGATATGTTCATGTACGCCGTCCAACCAGCACTCGCTCTACAACAGTTCTGACTAAACAGCCAAAGAAAACTGAATTTCAGAAGCCAGGAAGGTGCAGTGTTGTTTCTCCAAGTGCCAGTCTTGAGTAGATTCATCTCTCTCTTTTCCTGGTGACTTAAGGACCAACCCAGTAAGACGTGGTTTCCACATTTGTTGGCAATCAATTTAAAATAAGGAAGAGAAAATAATCATCTGGGTGAAAACAAGACCCACCTTCTTCCAGCATGTTTTTGTATGAAATTCTTAAGGATGTCTTATGAGTTTCAGATGTTTTATTAGAATGAGAGAAACTTTAGATCGAGAAATAAAATCCCAGTCTCAGTCCTGTAAATCTACATACTGCTTACTGTTGCATAATGTGATTATGACATAAAAGACAAAGCAGCCAATTAGATAAGAGCTTAGGGCATGCTGTAAACTTATTGGCTTAAATGTTTCAAATGTTGTTAAGAGTGATTTCTACATTGTTATGAAACGGATTCAATCACTGAACTACATATAATGGTAGCAGATAGATCATTAAACTAAAAACTAAATATAAAATTCATACAACACATGCTCTTTAAAACCTGAAATCATGTGCAAGAATGCTACACAATTGTTTTTCTTCACAACAAGTGAAGAAAATATTTCCAAGAAAATGGTAAGTTAAAAAAAAAAAGAATGATAAAAAATTAGCAGTATGGGCAAATGTGAGGTATAAGTGGTAACATTACTTTTATATCATATTTGGTCAAAATGTTAATTTTTTAATATAAACTATTATACTACATTTATTTAATACAAGACTTCTCAGAAGTTTGTTGGTTTTGATTTTTAAAAATAGGGTATCCTGCTCAATTTATTTTAGCCTCACGTCCTCACTCACATCGATGGTACACGTGGATGACGAGTCAAGACAGGAAAGATTAATATCCAGGGAAGATCATTTCTCTGCAGACCCTGACATCTCTCACTAACCTAACAATATTTTGAAGGAAGAAAGGGTATAGGAGGAAAGATTAAATATAGCGGTATCAGTTTAGCACAATTCATTTTTTTAAATGTAGCTATCGATTTTAAAAAGAAAAACTTCAAGGTCCCCACTTAAAGTTGGCCATTGAAATCAGAGACTGTTACAGGACATAAATAAATGCTTTTAACAGAAATTTTTGCTGAACTCAACAAACATCCCTGGTGGAAGATCCCACATACACTGTCAGCTCTGCCTACATTTTTGCTACCTTCATGCCAATGGAGGAACATTAATGGAAGTCACATTATGACTTTGAAGCTAAAAAATAAAGTGTGAACTAATAAACACAGACAGCCATGCTGTTGTGATACATTTTTTGGGAGGTGTGTCTCAATTACGTTTTTTTTTCCCCCTTCCCTCCCAACCAGCTTGGAAACCAAAGCCAAGGATTCTGACCTTGAACATAAATGTCTGGCCACTATGCATGCAATGCTAAGAGACACTTCTGGATGGGACTGAAGGAAGGCGGTACTTATAAAATATGAATAATAGCATGGTAATTTGAGGCAAGGAAGAGAAAGGAGCAAAGAGCCCTAGGGACTCAACAAAAAGTAGCATAAAAAAGAATACTGATGTATTCAGCTTATAATGGTTGATTTTTCTATCCCAAAGTCCATTAATCTGATTTCATTTCCACATAATGCCCTTTTTTTTAAGTGTAGTACAGTGTGTAGACTCACAAGGTACCATCTGAGTTGGACAAAGGTTCAGCATATCATCCAGAAAGATTTTCATCAGCACAACAGAACCCAAACCTTTCAGCCTCTCATTATTACACGATTGCTTATTCATCAGTTAGAAGAGGCAAAATAAGGAAAAATAAACAATATGAACAGGCAATTGAAAAAAAATTTCAGCTCTGCTTTATGTTATCAAAATTCTCCAAACAGGGAAATACTATCATTTGGAGAAGAAAAGAAAAAAGCATTTACTAGAGACACTTCTAGACGGGAAGTCTGCTACCATAGCTGATTCACTATGCTAGGATTTAAAGAGCTCTGGCAACAGAGGTGAACATTTGCAATGTTACCCTAAGAGAGGGCTATAATAATTTAAAACATATTTAGTTACATAACCAAAATTACTATTTTATAAAATAATTATTTAGAACACATTACTCACTAGTCAGTAGTTTTGGAAACCAGATTTCCGGGGTGTTAATAAAATTAATTAGCCATGGGGAATGAAATCAAGATAGAATCCTATACTAAAAAGCTTCTGCACAGCAAAAGAAACAATTAACAGAGTTAAAAGACAGCCAACAGAGTGGGAAAAAATATTTGCAAAATATACATCTGACAAAGGATTAATATCTAGAATATAGAAGGAACTCAAACAACTTTACAAGAAAAAAACAAGTAATCCAATTGAAAAATGGACAAAAGAGCTAAATAGGCATTTCTCTAGGGAAGATATACGAATAGCCAAAAGACATATGAAAAAGTGCTCAACATCACTCAGCATTCGGGAAATGCAAATCAAAACCACACTGAGACACCATCTCACTCCAGTTAGGATGGCTAAAATCCAAAAGACTCTGAACGATAAATGCTGGTGAGGTTGTGGAGGAAAAGGAACTCTCATACATTGTTGGTGGGACTGCAAAATGGTGCAGCCTCTATGGAAAATGGTATGGAGGTTCCTCAAACAATTGCAGATAGATCTACCATATGACCCAGCTATCCCACTGCTGGGAATATACCCAGAGGAATGGAAATCATCAAGTCGAAGGTATACCTGTACCCCAATGTTCATTGCAGCACTCTTTACAAAAGTCAAGAGTTGGAACCAGCCCAAATGTCCATCATCAGATGAGTGGATACAGAAAATGTGGTATATCTACACAATGGAATAGTACTCTGCTATAAAAAAGAATGTAGTACTGCCATTTGCAACAACATAGATGGACCTAGAGAGAATTATATTAAGTGAAACAAGTCAGGCACAGAAAGAGAAATATCACATGTTCTCACTTACTTGTGGGAGCTAAAAATAAATAAATAAATACACAAATAAACTGGGGCAGGAAGGGAAGAAGACACAACAATTACAATTCCTTGAAGTTGATATGACAAGCGAACAGATATGAGGTTGTTGGGAGGGAGGGGGGAGAAGGACGAGGGAGGGAGGTTTCAGTAATGGCCCACAATAATCAACCACATTGTATATTGACAAAATAAAATAAAAAATTTTGAAAAATAATAAATAAATAAATAAAAACTATAGTATCAAAACAGTGTGGTCCTGGCATACAGACAGACATTTAGACTGTCTCAGTCCATTTGGGCTACTGTAACCAAGTACTATAACCTGAGTAACTTATAAACAGAAATGTATTTCTCACAGTTCTTCGACAAAATAAAATAAAATAAAATATTTTAAAAAATTATATATACAAAATGACACCATTTTTAATTAAAAACTGTTCAATTAAAAAAAAATAGTTTATGGAACAAAACTTAGAATTTTAAAAAAGGAAACTTACAATAGTGTGGCTCATTCTCTGTAGCATCAATGCCAGAATCATAGTGATTTGAAGATAAAGATTAACATTGTTTTTAACATATTTTAGTGTTCTTATTTTGATAAGGGCAAAAATGTATGACAATTACAACTGATTAGAAAGACAAGTTCAAATAGCTTGGCATGATATGGAACTTTATTGTTAAAACACACGAATTTCACCTTCTTTGGTACTTGGGTAGAGAAGCTGAAGTTGAAATTTTCTCTCTACAGAAAGTACAATAAGAATTCACTTAATCCTAATCTTTGGAAAGATCTGGTTACATCTTCAGAAGAGTCCCAGGATTTCTTAAGTTTTCAGAATGTCATACTTGCACATGGGGCATGTCCGATGAGCTAAAAGCCAGGGGTCAATACATGCCTTATGGAAAAAATGTTTGCAAGTTAAAATACGTACTACATCTCGAGGTTTGTATATATCAAAGCAAACAACACAATTGTTTTCATTTGGATCTAGTTCCTTATCCCCTTCTTTGAGCACTCGCAGTTGAAGCTGACCAATAGCTTTCTTCACATCTCTCTTTATCTGTCTTTGCCTCCCCATGGAAGAATTGTGAGCTCTAGGTCTCCAGGCACAGCACAAGAAAAGGTAGGCAATTGTGGCAGCCAGGATGGTAAACAGGGACATGACATAATGGCTCAACCAGGGCATTTGCATTCTTCCCACTTCAATGACGATTGTCACATAGACTCCTTTCTCAATCAAGCGCAACAGTTCCATGCCTTTCAGGTTGCTGATCATCACTGCGACTATATTTTCCGTTCCACGGTGAGACATGGGAAATACTTTGTTGCCCGTACCTGGATAATTATAGATGATCACCCCATTTGCTCCCTTCTCTGCTGCCACATTGATTTTTTGTGTAAAAGTGCAGCCTCCCCGCTCAATGAGGGCCAGCCAAGAGTCTGCCTGTTCAGGCCTACTGAAATTGGTCAAAGGGTTGCAAGCATTCTGATTCCATCTTTCAGGAAGTACCACTGCACCGGACACCCTTTCCAGAGGAGAATGATTCCCAAATACTCCACTGTCTCCTAATTGTGATATAATCCGATCTCCCACCTGAAAAGTTATATTCAGGTGAGCTGTCCAAATGGCTCTTCCTTTTGAGTCAGGAAGGCTAAGTAGTAGAAAGATGCTGAGTCTCCATAGTCGAGATGAAATGGAACTATTAGTTGAAGGAGTTATTCTAAGTAGGTTCATTCCTCCATTTGCCTATTAACTGACAAACATGAAAAATAAAACATCAGTTGTAAAAGAAAGTAAAGAAGCTAGCTTCAATTGTTGGCAGTAGATTAATAAACACGTAAATACACAGGTCTGAGTGGATCAAAAATATCTTGCTCTTTCCAGCATTTTTATTTTTGGTAGATTATCTTACTTATAGTGAAACAAAATAACAAGGGTTGTTAATAGTACAATGTGATTTCAAGAAAATTATGACTTCCTAATGAGGAAATTGTGACATCAGAGGTAGATAGGCCAATCCAAGAGTTTATATTACTGCACTGCATACTGAAATCCCATTGGTTAAAAAGCTACTAAGCATTGAGACAAGA